TGGCTAGCACCCTGTCCACCTTCCCTGCAGTGGTGCTGATCTCTTGGCGGTCAACACTGATGGTAACATGCCCTATGACCTGTGTGAGGATGAGCAGACACTGGACTGCCTTGAGACGGCCATGGCTGACCGTGGTGAGTGTGATCCCACCTGCCTCCAGGGGTGGGGCCAGCGGTGCTGGCTCTGAGCCTGTTGCCCTGTAGGCATCACTCAGGATGGCATCGAGGGGGCCCGGGCCTTGCCAGAGTTGCACATGCTAGAGGACATCCAGAGTCTACTGCAGATGGGGGCCGACCTGGATGCCCCTGGGGACCATGGGGCCACGCTGGTGAGGACATGGCCAGAGGACGCAGGGGGAGGAGGGTGCTACTGGAGAGGCATGGGCCAGGTCTCAGGGCTGGGTGGTTTGCCTGTAGCTACACATTGCCGCTGCCAATGGGTTCAGCGAGGCTGCTGCCCTGCTACTGGAACACCAGGCCAGCCTGAGCGCCAAAGACCGCGACGGCTGGGAGCCACTGCATGCTGCGGCCTACTGGGGCCAGGTGAGTGTGGGGCTGGAGCAGTTGGGACAGCTAGGGTGCTGGTGGGCCTGCAACTCTGGAACCTTCAGCAGCCTGGGCTCACTGGCCCACAGGTGCACCTGGTAGAGCTGCTCGTGGCACATGGCGCCGACCTCAACGGGAAGTCCCTGATGGAAGAGACGCCTCTTGGTGAGCTGGGGGTCACCTCCTCTTGGTGCAGGTGACCAGCGGGAGGATGCCCCTGATCCTCCACCCACTTCTCCTCAGATGTGTGCGGGGACGAGGAGGTTCGGGCCAAGCTGCTGGAGCTGAAGCACAAGCAGGACGCACTCTTGCGGGCCCAAGGTCGCCAGCGCTCTCTGCTGCGTCGCCGCACCTCCAGTGCTGGCAGCCGGGGGTGAGCAACTGCCCCACTGTGGCCCCACCCCCTGCCCCTCTGGCAATGCCCAGGTCTTTGCCTCCACTGACGTCAGCTGGCGGGCCAAGGTGCCAGCTGGAGCCTGGGACAGAGTCCACAGGGAAGGGAACGTCCTCCCCCCACCCTCACCCTGCCTTCCCCCAGGAAGGTGGTGAGGCGTGTGAGTCTGACCCAGCGCACCAGCCTGTACCGAAAGGAGCATGCCCAGGAGGCCATTGTGTGGCAACAGCCACCTCCCACCAGCCCAGAGCCCCCTGAGGAGGAGGAGGATGGCCAGACAGACACCGAGCTCAGGCCACCGCCCCCTGAGGTGAGCTCCTCCCCACCCATACTCTGGGGCAGGCCTTCACCCAGGAGCCATTGCGGTCAGTGACCCTACACCCATATGCTGGGCTGGTGCCCCACCCTCATGCCTTCCCCTTGACTACCACGATGCAGTGGGCCTAAGGCCAGGGGGGCCGAGACAGGGCCCTCTTTAATGGCCTCTGGGGCCCATGCTCCCCCCACAGGAGGAAGACGCCGAAGTGTCCAGGCCACACAACGGCCGAGTTGGGGGCACCCTGGGACGGCACCTATACTCCAAACGGCTGGACCGGAGTGTCTCCTACCAGCTGAGTCCCCCAGAGAGTATGGCCCCTGACACCCTGGGCCGGGCCAAGGCCCACCACACCTTGGCGGAGCTCAAGCGGCAGCGAGCAGCTGCTAAGCTGCAGCGTGGGCCTGAGGCCCCTGGGTCTGGTCCGCCTTCGGACATGGAGATGCCCCAGCCCGAGTGTGGCTCCAGGGCTGGTGGAGACCCACCCCTGCTCAAGCTCACAGCCCCCTCCGAGGAGGCTTCCATGGAGAAGAGACCATGCTGCCTGCTCATGTGAGGGGCTGGCTCTCAGGGTGCCAAGGGTCCTGATGCCAGGCCTAGCCAGAGTCTGCTTCAGGGCCTTTTGCTGGAAACCCCGACATGCCCTGTGGGTGGGCAGCCAGTGCCGGGCCTCCCCAATCTTCCCATCCAGGACCCCACTTCCTCACTCTGGAATGGACCTGTGGCAGAAGCCATCCCCAGGGGGCACCTGGCTACAGAGACCTTGTTTCATTCTATGACTCTTGATAAAGAGCCCTTCTGCCACCTGCCTTGTTGTGTCTCAGCTGGGCCACCGTCCCCATGGTGGGGAGCTGCTATGTTGCTGAGCCTGGGTGCGCCATTCCTGTGAGCACCTGTCTGGGGCCTGTAGGTGCATGCTTGGGCTCGATGGTGGTGGCCCAGCCTACGTGGGAGTGAGGCCCATGGCCACTGGGCAAGAAATCTGGCCCTTACTGCGCCCTGCCTTCCCAGACTCCTGGAGGCTCCTCTGTAACACTTTGCTGTCATGAGGGGAGAAGGAGCTTTGGAAGGACGCTCTTTGGGGACCAGGGATGCATGTCAGAGGAGCAGAAATCCTGGTTTGGGAAGGGAGGGGCCAGAGCCAGAGAGGCAAAGACATAAAAGGCTAGTATCAGAAACCAGGGTGTGTGAGGGGGTGTTTCCCTGTTCCTGGCATGCAGCCTGATCCTGGGGCCTAGCTGCCAGCTTTTCCCTGGGCTGGCAAAGGGGGCCAGCAGTTGGCCACTCAGTCTCTGAGCTGGCCAGGCATGATGTGTGGGGGTGAAAGGGGCCCCTTAGGGGCCTTACGTGGGAAGGCTGAGGGCACTGCCAGTTCATCTGTCCATAAAGAACAGCATTGCATGGCCACCAGTGCTGGATGGCATGGGTTCAGGTCACCTTCCCCTCCTCACTGGACACCAGCCTGGTCAGCCCAGTGTCCACATGGCCAGCCCTTCCCTGAGCATTGTGGTTGGAGGGGTGTCCAACCTGGGTCAGGGGTAGGCTGCTGGTTAAATTTAGTGTGGGGGCTGGTATAGCTGCCCAAGTCCACCTACCACTGAGGCTGCCACTGGAGCCCCACTGCCAGGGGGCGGGCAGGGCTAGCTCCGCCTGGGGCTGGGCCTATATTAACTTGCACTCTGGCCTGGGGGCCAGAGGGACAGGCTTGCTCGAGCTGGGAGGCTGAAGTCGCAGAGAAGTGCCAACGGAACAAAAAGGCGTGAGGTGAGAGCTAGGCCAGCACTGGGTTCCTGTGTGTCCTCTCCAGCCAGTGGGAGCAGAGGAACCAAGGCTCCCCTCTGGCCTGAGCAGCCGCCCACAGCTCAGCTCGAAGGGAAGGCTCCCTGACCCTCAGCTTAGCCTCAGATGCCATAGCTGGGGTAGCCACCCTTGGGCAGGGCCTATGGAGGTGGGGCCCTAAGGGCCTATCACTGCTCACTTCCACTCTCCACCAATTAGCAGCAACTGGGAAGTAGAGCTGAGGTCACCCTGCCTGTGCTGTGGCCCCAAGGGCAGCCCCAGGCTGGCCTGGTGAAAGGGCACGCCAGCACAGAGCAGCAGGTTTCAAGGGCCCTCCCCCAACCCTGCAACCCAGAGACTGCAGTCTTGCAGTGCTGACTGCGACCAAGGTACAGCCATGGGGCTCTTGCAGCCCTGGGCCATGGCCACCTGCGCAGGAGGGGCCAGATGGAACCCCCTGAGTGCCTCACTCCCCTCCCCCAACACCCCAGGATTCCTGAGGCCTGGTTCAGTTACCTGGGAGATAGGCCTGCTGACCCAAGCAAAGATGGGGGGCCTGAAAGGGCTAGGCCTCCTCCGAGCCCCGCTGGGGTAAATCTCCATTCTCCCCTTGGGGTTCAGCCCTGCCTAGCTCTGCCAACCCCATTGGGGCACTCAGCCCACCTCCCCTCCCCCAGACCCAGTCCCACAGAGCTTCCTGGACCGTGTGTCCCTACCCCCCATGTGGGACTCCTGTTCCCCTGTCATGGGGACACGGCAGGCACTGGGCTGAGCCCCAAGCCTTGTCTGCCTCCTCACCCACTCCCTGTGGCTCCTGGGGGCAGAGCGGTGCCCAGATGGATGGGGCGGGGCCGGGTGGCCCAGCAGCCCCAGCTCCGCCTTCAGTCTTTCCCGTTCCTTTCTGTGAGGCCAACAGGCTGCAGTGAAGAGGGTGCCCTCTTACTTTGAGCCCCCTTCTCAGGCTCCCCGTTACCAGCCCTGGCCCACTGAGCCGGACTCAGCTTCCCTCATTCCCGCTTCTGGATCCTGCCACCTCCTGAGCCTCCTTCCTGCCTGGTCTTAGCAGGGTCATGGCCTTGAGGGCAGGTGACCACAGCCAGGCTGCAATGAACGGGCTGAAGGAAAAGGTGCTGACACTGGACACCATGAACCCCTGTGTTAAGAGGATGGAGTATGCTGTTCGAGGCCCCATTGTGCTACGTGCCCTGGAGCTGGAGCAGGAGCTGCGCCAGGTATGGTCCTGGACCCCACCACTGCCCTCTAGGCTGCATCTAGGCAGTCCAGTATCACATGGGACAAGAGCTTGTGGGAGTGGTAAGGCCATTCTCAGTGTCCCCAACTCCATCCTCCCAGGGTGTGAAGAAGCCCTTCACTGAGGTCATCAAGGCCAACATTGGGGACGCACATGCCATGGGGCAGAAACCCATCACCTTCCTGCGCCAGGTGAGCCTCATACTGCCCTGGCAACCCCAACCCCTGTCAGCCCTGTGCCCTGGCCTTAGCACTTGCTCTTCCCAGGTCCTGGCCCTCTGTGTCCACCCGGATCTCCTGAAGAGCCCTGACTTCCCTGAAGATGCCAAGAGAAGGGCAGAGAGCATCTTGCAGGCGTGTGGGGGCCACAGCCTAGGTAAGCGCCAGTACCAATCCCCAGGGAGGAGCAGAACTGGAGGGAGGCTGGCCTGGGAGAGGAGAGGAGTGGAGGGGAGGATCTTTTTCGGGAGGGCTGCCAGGGGACCCTACTGGTCTTCCCTCTTCCTGCCCCGCACCCTGGCATAGGGGCTTACAGTGTGAGCTCCGGCATCCAGCTGATCCGCGAGGACGTGGCGCGGTACATCCAGCGGCGCGACGGAGGCATACCCGCCCACCCCAGCAACATCTTCCTGTCCACGGGGGCCAGCGATGCCATCATGGTAGGCAGGTGGACAGGGCAGGAGGGCACCATGGCTCTTTTTGTGCAGCCAGCCGGCCGGCCAGGCTCCTCCTGGCACGGCCGAGCGGGGGTAGGGGAGGGAAGACGGGTGCAGCCCCTGGCCCGGCCAACACCGCCTCCTCATCCCGAGTGTAGACAGTGCTGAAGTTGCTGGTGGCCGGCGAGGGTCGCACACGCACGGGTGTGCTCATCCCCATCCCTCAGTACCCACTCTACTCGGCCGCGCTGGCGGAGCTCAGCGCAGTGCAGGTGGACTACTACCTGGACGAGGACCGCGCCTGGGCGCTGGACGTGGCGGAGCTGCGGCGCGCGCTGCTTCAGGCGCGTGACCACTGCCGCCCCCGCGCGCTCTGCGTTATCAACCCCGGCAACCCCA